AATGATTGAATACAGTTAATGTGACACTTTATTGAAACCCAATCCCCGAATCAGAGGCCCAATCTGGCCGGTTAAAAAACTCAAGATGGTAATAAAATTGACATTGAAATACAGATCGATTTAGCGTGAATGGTCGATACATTTGGCGTTCGACAATTACTATACCCGAATTCTGTGATAAAATAAATGAAGTTAAAGCATTTTGATTGGTTTGAAAAGCGAAATACGAAGCAAACGTGTGAATTCACCGCATACTTACGCACCAAATGCATGTGCATACATAAATACATTGATATACGAATGATATCAAATGACGCTTGTTGAATTCGTGTTTAGCCTCTCGATCTTGTTATAATTCCTCCAGCGGCGGTTTCATTTAACTTCATCGGTTGAGCCAACGTATTCCTTTGTCCACCAGGAGGGTAAAAGCGCTTGACCACGGTAGAGTTATACTTGAATAGACTGCGTCTCACTGAATCACACATCGATACTTGAGCCAACGTATTCCTTTGTCCACCAGAAGAGTAAAAGCGCCTGCCGAGTTATATTTGAATAAACATCGTCTCTCTGAATCATACATCAATACATCAGCCAAGGTATTCCTTTGTCCACCAAAAGAGTAAAAACGGTTGCCCGCGGCAGAGTTATATTTTACTGATAAACTGCGTCTCAATGAATTTCATATACGTCGATACTTGAGCCAACGTATTCCTTTGTCCACCAGAAGAGTAAAAGTGCTTGCCCGCAGCAGAGCTATATTTGAATAAACTGCGTAGCACTGAATAATACTGTGTTACTGACCGTTGTTTTATATCCACGATATATCTTTTCCAAAAGTATAATTTCGAAGTACTTTGCCGCAGAGGTCATACAAATTTGCTTGCAAGTGACACAATGAGGCTTACTGATCCAAGCAGGAAACTATTCAGACGAAGAGGTGAAACCTGATTGGTCTATTTTCCCGCACATGCATGGGAAGAGATTTGACAATGGTTTGTTGTTAATTCAGCCTTGCGCTTTGCACGTGTATGATCACATGATTGACAGATTGACCTTTGTACCAGACCTTTGTACTCCAGGAGACTTTGCACAACTTTACTCTTGTCCTAACGCTTGTTTCATTAACTTAAGTTTATAATGCTATGGGCATGTATAAACTTGCTCTAATTCGCACACAAATATTGCAACTAACAAATGTTGCACAAGTTTCCGTTAGGGACCGCTCATTATTTATTGTACAGGGGGGGACTGAGGAGAAACTCTACAGTTATTATATTTTTTCGTTGCCCCCCTCTTAAGACAAGTAAAATTTTCAAAGCCCCCCCCCAACAGGCAAAACAAGAACATAAATTCCCCCCCCCCTCTAGCTCTTTATCTTTATTTACAGAAACAAAAACTCTAGCTGTTTATTTTAGAGAAAGAAAAATAGGTAATGGGGACCAATAGACATTCCCATTATAACCTGAGTATCAGGCCGTACTTTTAGGGCACAGGCACGCCTGATCGCGGGCGAAGGGGAGAAAAGTACGGCCTGACACAAAAGCGGCATTTTGCCTGGTTATTCAGTCCAGAATCTGGACTGAGCGCTGATTGGCCGATTAGACAAACAATTTTTTAAATCTGTCATTTGATTGGCTGGTGCTAATTAGATTATACTATTGTTGTTGATATATTTTATAACGATCACAACTACAATTATAGCCGGTCCCCGGCCCACTAAACGGCTGAATTTAAATTAAAACTGCAGTAAAATTAGAAAATAATCGCAAATTAGCGAAATATATTGCAAATGTAGCTTATATTAAATCGCCATCAGATTGCACTATCGACTATTAAACTGACGTATAGTTATAAAGTATACTTAATATATATATATATATATATATATATATATATATATATATATATATATATATATATATATATATATATATATATATATATATGTTATATATATATATATATATATATATATATATATATATATATATATATATATATATATATATATATATATATATATATATATATATATACTTTATAATTATATGTCAGTTTGTTGATAAATACGGCAAGCGCCATGTAAAGCTCATTGTAGTCACTGAAACCTCTGCGGAGGAGAGAGCAATCGGGTGGCGATTTAGTATAAGCTACATGTGCAATATATTTCGCTAATTTGTGATTACTTTTGTTAATTTTATAAGTTCATTGCAGTTTTAATTTAAATTCAGCCGTTTAGTCGGCTGCTATGCTATAATTAGATTGTTGTTGTCGTTGTGTGAAATTTAAATTTCTCCTGCGACATTTTGATTGGATACTAAATATAAACATTGTTGTGGGCGGAAAGCGATCAGGTTAAGTTTTGTGTCAGGCTCTATTTTATTCCCATTATTTTATTCCCAGTATAGACTAATTTTTTATCTTAGCAATAAAAAGTATATTCCCGGGAAGGGCATACTAAAATTAGTAAAATTCCAAAGTTTGGTTGCAAAATGTTGTAAAATATGTAGAAAATATAGCCTTCCAAAGTTTGCAAATTTTGTATTCTTTTGTATAATTGCAATTTTCGCATGCAATACAAAAGTGTACAAAATTTGCAAACTTTGCAAGGCTATATTTCCGTATTTTGGAACAATTCGCAACCAAACTTTGCAATAATTTACATATTTTAGTATGCTCTTTCTAGCTGTGGTGATTTATTTGCATCAAGGCCGGATTTTGAGGGAAGTGTGGAGCACTGATGTGGAGAGGTGCGCACCTCCCCAGAAATCGTTTTGCACGGCAGGTACAAAACGCAGGTTGCAGGTTGCAGGTTGCAGGTTGGAATTTCGCAGGTTGGGAATTTTGCAGGTTGGAATTTTGCAGGTTGGGGATTTTGCAGGTTGGAATTTTGCAGGTTGCCACGAATTTTGCAGGTTGATGATGCAAGCTTAAAATTACACCACTATAAAGTATTCTAGTATAATTTAATTGTGTACTTATTGCAGTCTGACTCCTTGTCGGCGCTTTTGATATCAGCCTATCCTGCTACCATGTTCCTAGCTTCTGCTCTAAGGAGTGGCCATCACCCTTGTGGAAACAGCTCTGTGGATGTTTCGATTGTTGCGAGGAGCCTATATGACGTGGTGGCAGTTCAGAAAATGCCTGAATGAGGTGTATCTCCTCTGCACCCACTTATGAGAAGTCCACTCAAGCCCCCAATTACCGTATAATTACTCGAGAGTTAGTTAACTTTTAACAACATTCTAGTATAAACGCCGCCAGGTCATGTAGGCACCTCGCAACAATCAAAACATTCGTCTCCCTGTAAGTCCAAGCCAATCTGGTCATTTTTAATGTTTTTACGGGGGTGATGGCCACTAGCCTTAGAGCAGAGGCTAGGAACATGGCAGCAGGGTAGGCTGATTAGTTGATATCAAAAGCGCCGACAAGGAGTCAGACTGCAATAAATGCACAACTAAGTTATACTAGAATACTAAAAAAATGGTGTAATTTTAAGTTTGCATTATCAACCTGCAAAGTTCCTGGCAACCTGCAAAATTCCAACCTGCAAAATCCCCAACCTGCAAAATTCCAACCTGCAAAATTCCCAACCTGCAAAATTCCAACCTGCAAAATTCCCAACCTGCAAAATTCCAACCTGCAACCTGCAACCTGCAACCTGCAACCTGCATTTTGTACCTGCCGTCGTTTTGCACCTCTCCTGAGAATTTTTGCACCTCTCTTGAAAGATCATGCACTTCCCCTTGGGAAAGTTTCAATGATGGAACAAAGTGAAAATGTGATGGTTGCTTAGGATCTACACTTTGTGACGTAAGAAAGTTTTCTCTGTAAAATTGAAACAGTGATAGCCATGTCAAGCACCCTTTTAATGCAATGTTTTGAAAGAAACAGTGTAGCAATCGTAATGAAGGGCAAGATTGGAGTCATACATTCATAATTCATTAATACACTGGTACATATTATGTACACTACATGCATACCTCACCTCGTTGATATTGGCCTGTTCTACAATAAGCCCTAACTTTTCATGGGAGTTGTGAGCTAGACCGCTGCACCTCTCCTAAAATTTTTGTCCACCTCCCCCACTATTTTCACCAAAATCCGGCCTTGATTTGCATCTCTTTGCCTAGTTCTAAAATTAGTCTATAATGGGAATTGTCTATTTACATGAACATGAGACTTTTTATTTGACTTCCATTTATGAATATTAAAGTCTATAAATATTGTTATTTGTTGTTAAGTTGTTTTGTGATACATTTTTAAAACTACTGTTTTTTCAAACTGGTAAATATTTTCAAAGCCCCCCTTCTTTCGTCCCTCTGTATTTTTTCAAAGCCCCCCCTTTTAGGTTTTGAAAAATTTAAAGGCCCCCCCAGTTTCTCCTCAATCCCCCCCTGTACAATAAATAATGAGCGGTCCCTTAGTTTTAAAAAATGGAGCGAAATCTATTCTTGTTTTAGTCCATTTATTGCGCAAATGACTTTCGTATGCCAATTATTCTACATATGGATTCTGTATATTGATCAAAAACTGTACTACCGATTACGGAACATTAATTGCATGTAAACGGGGTGATGGTGATTCAGTGTTCTACAATCTACAATAAGCTGTATGCAGACTAGTCGTTTGTGTCTACCTAAAATGGATTAAAAAACACTTCTACGTTTTGCTTGATGCATACATCGCGCACGCATACCTGTTACATACACATTCATACATTGTTCAGCACACTTTTCAGTGACCAATTACATCAAGTATTACGCTGATTTTAATATATTACCTACTTAATCTAGACTGTTTACCTTTACAAATTACAACAATTGTGATATTTACTTTCCTAACTCATGTGTTTTTATGTTCATGCTAACCCACCCTGTCAACTTTACCTGTGGGAGGAAACCGGAGCACCCGGCGACTTTCGGCAGAGCGTTGACATGCAGACACTTTTCACATAAGTCCGTAGCGAGAATCAAACTCACGTTCTCGGAGGTCACGGATAGGCGCTTGTTTTCACGCACTACGGAATACCCCACACCGCATATGTTGTCGTTTGAATCTGGCCATTCAAAGACAAATCAATCCAGCAAAAACTGACTGAAGTAATTTGATTCTTCGTTACATTCTAGATGGGATATGATGTCAATCGCTGTTTTATAAATTTGTTTAAATTGGCGCAACTTATTATTCAGTATTTATTGGTAAGTGTTAAAACTATCACTTAGTGTTAAACTCATTAATATTTTGCCAATCATATTGTTTTATTTTGCTCATAGATAATACTGGATACCTAGTGAAGTATATTGATCTAGGACTGGATCAAAATTAATTCACCTCACTTTAATTAAGTAGTGATTTATTCGTACGAGATGTCATTTCAAATCCTCCATTTCGGACTGGACTAGATTTCTTATCCCATACCTGTGTTAAAAGCGGCTTTCTGATTGGTTTAGAGCAGGTGAGCTTGTCGTCGAGCTCACCTGCTTTTTGCCGAACTCACCTGCTTTTCGTCCGAACTCACCTGCTAAACTGCTTACGTTGCAATAACAATAACAAATATGGCGGACAAGATTTAGCCGATAAACCTAAACTTTAAAGAACTTTTTTCGGTGACTAACATACTGAGACTGAAGAAAAACCAAAGAAAAAATGCAGTAAAGGTAATGTAGACGTAGATAAAGAAGTATTTTCTTGCCCAGTGATTTTTTTGGCCGGGAAAATGTTCACAAAACATCGACGAATATATCGCGAAGAGCTACAAATGTGTGTATGGCTCGGTCAGCCTCGGTGTATGGGATAAAAACCAAACGTACTTGCAGGTTCGGTGAGTCCGGGATTGGACGCACCTCGGGTGGCTGGAAGTTTCCCGAACTCACCTCGCTTCGCTCGGTAAGTTCGGGAAACTTCCAGCCACCCTCGGTGCGTCCAATCCCGGACTCACCTCCCTGCAAGTACGTTTGTTATAAAGTCCTCGCATTTTGATACAGTCCTCGCGGCTTCGCCTCGGACTTGATCAAATTGCACGGACCTGAAATCTAGTTCAGTCCTCGTGGTCGGATTTGAAATATTACATCTAGCCACTGCAATTAAGGGAGTACTTAAGTTACCAACCAAATGTTGTTCGTTTCGAAATAGCCCCTACACTACATCCTAATTT